GATTCTTTACCATCTGTGCCACCTGGAAAGAGTATAATGATAATTCTCACCAGAATGCCTTATGCTGATTGGCTTAAACCAGGATTCCCCTCCTTGGATCCATGTGTAGTTTAGATATCAGAACAAAACTGGAATTCTGTTATAAGGAGGAAGAGGTAAATGGTAAATAGATGTTGAACAGGTGACCAACTTTGCACCAAATCATCTTGTTTATTAACCACCAAATTATTCTAATGGTCAAATTGAGTTTAGAGGAGCATTTCTTCTCAGTTTACTCAAACTTTTAAGAGAAAGTTATTGGTAGCACATAACAAGTCATCTGATACTCAGTTTTCATAGAATAATATAGGAGATATTTAACAACTACTGGCTGAAAATCAGTCCTTATGGAGATCCTTGTGTGTGTGCATGCTAAGTCACTTCAGTCGTGTCCAACTCTTTGCAACCCTATGGACTGTAGCCCACCAGGCTCCTCTCCATGGGGTTCTCCAGGCAAGACTACTGGAGTGGGTTGCCATGCCCTCCTCCCAGGAATCTTCCTGACCCAGAGTTTGAACCCGAGTCTCTTGTCTCCTGCATTGGCAGATGGGTTCTTTACCACTAGTGCCCCCTGGAAAGCCCATGGAGATCTTTAGGGAGATCTGCATCTGAATGTATTCAACTGCAATTACTAGAATACCCAACTAGAATACCTTAAGTAATAAATGTAATTTATTTTCTGTCATAAAGTCTGGTGGTTGAAAGTTTCAGATTTGATACAATGCTCAGTGATACTTTGAAGAACCAAGGCTTGTTCTATTTTTCTCCTCTCTAACCTTCTTATCCTTAGGCCTATCCTATCTCATGGCTATGGTAGCTTCAAGCATTACACCATCATACAGCTGTATTCAAGCCAGAATTAAAGGTAGCAGGTGTCCTTACTGGCTCTATCAGGGAAAATACTTTTTCTCGGATGCTCCCATGTACACACCCTCGTGTCTCACTGGTCACGTGCCCACTCTGAAACCAGTTGCAGTAGAGAGGAATGGATAGTGTGCTTGGCTTTGACCAGTCTTACTTCAGGCCCTGGCCACCCAGAGAGAAGCCCACCCTTCTTCATATTTTGTCCAAGAAAATCAGAGTTCCACAGATTGGGGGGAAAGGGGAAATGGGATAAGAAAGCAGTAGTGTAGCTCAGCAGTATGTGTCCAATGCCTGTGTTCTATTTTAATAACTATATTAGCAAAGCATTCATCTCTAACTCAGTGTTTCTCAAACTATGTGAGGTGAAGGACTACTTCAATTTTTTCCAATTCATAGGCTAATAAGTTTCCTGTCAAACTGTATAAAAATGTCTAAGTTCTCTCACTTTCTGACCATGTCTCATCATGGAACAGCAATAGCTCTCAGACCAGCCATGGTCTACGACCCCTCTTGGAGAGGTGGTCCAGCTGGCTCACTTCATCATCTGGCCCCAGCTTGCTTCTCCTGCCTCATGTCCTGTGCTCCCTTTGATTCACCTGTAACAAACTGTTCTCCATTACCAGAATACGCCATGTATTTTCATTTTACTTCTGGATTTGACTTCACATTCTGTTCTCCCTTCCTGGCAGGCTCTTCCCTAGCTGGGGGAACACCTACTGAGCTTTTTTTTAGACCAGCTTAAATGTCACCTTCCCTGTGATGTTTTTCCTGAATTCTTTGCTCCACCCATCAGTGAGTGCTTCCTTGAACCCCATCCTATCTCATGGCTATGGTTGCGTCAAGCTTTATGTATCACACTACTCAAGCTGGATGAAAGGTAGACGGCCTCCTTACTGTCTCCACAAAGAAGTATACTTTTCCCAGAAGCTCCACAACACATGTCCTCTTATGTCTCATTGGCCACATACCCAATAAGTGTATTTTGGGGGTTGTACTCTTTTCTGGGTCAGTCTCCCTCACTAGACCAAAAATTCCTTGAAGGTGATCATTGTCTTATTCATCTTCTATCCCCAGTTCCTGGCACACATACTTTGTTCTAAGTAAATGCCTATTGAATAGAATTGACGCGAACTTCTGTGTCTTTCCTTTTATTCTCCCCAAATATTTTCTACAGTGTATTTGTGGCTTTCCATGTAAGAACGTACCATTTTGACACACACTTTTTTCTCTCCTCTTCTATCAAACCTAGTTTTAAAAATAAACAAGGTACAGCTTTCCATTGTATTCCCATCATAGGTCCCTTCCCATGGACATCACTGTCACCATCACTGCAGGAGGCGGTATGTGGGGTTTATGCCACCCTGGTGGCATACTCAAACCCCTGTAACAATAAATGAGCCTACACATGGACATATATAAACTTCCAAAAGTAGCTGGCAAGGTGGTACAGCACAGAGAACATACAATTTAGAGTCACGACGACCCAAGCTTTAGCCTCTTTTCACATAATATCTCTATCACCTTGGGAATATTCCTTAACCTTATGAGTTAATTTCTTCTATTAAAAAAAAAAAAGTATCATGGGGAGACATGAGGAAATAATACTTGCTTACTATATGTTAGTACCTTCTGCTCAGATGAACAAACACATTTGTGAATTGACAAAGAAGGTAGGCTGAGAGCAAGTCAGTGGGTCTGCTGTCTCTTTAAGGGGTCAGGGCCAGCCACTGGTCAGGCTGGCTGAGAAAGATGACCTGCTTTGAAATTCTATCTTGGGCAGAGCCTTGGTTGCTTCTGATTTCCTTGCTCACAGCTGGCAGAGACAGCCACTTTGACAGCTCAGGGGGTGCATGACTAAGGTGGAGGGATGAGCAACTGTTGCTTGTTAAAGGGGGTGGCTTGGCCTGGAGGCAGGCAGGTGACAGAAAAGCAGCATATGGAAATCCCCAACTCCACTACTCAAATGATATCACAGATCCAAATCACTGTGTGGGAAAGGCTGGGGGTGGGGGGTGGGGGGCAGGGCATTGGAGGGGGAGTCCTTCTCCAGGCACTCTCTTTTTTTCCTTTACTTCTGATTTCCTGCTTCAACTTTAGAAAAAAGGGAATAAGATGCAAATTTGTTTGTCAGGCGATTGTAATTAAATAAGAAAAAACCAGCTTTCGACATGCTGTAGGTTTTCACAGCTCTCTGCCTGTGAGTCTGCTGTTCTTACCAGTGGAAATCCTCTTCTCCGTCTATCTGGCTAACTCAGTCCTGGCCCCCAGATTCCTTGTTAGCCCTTGTGTCTTTCTTTCTTGATGCCATCTTCCTCTTAGGCTGCCAATGCTCCTAAACTCAACTTGGTTACTGTACTTCCCACACTGAATTGCCATTGTTTTCTGAGGCAGCTCTTGCTTGATAAGAGAGAGCTCTTGGGAAACTTTGATTCTCTTAAATGCTTGGTTCATAGCAGGCACTCAACATGCGTTGAGCTGAAAATTTCTACTCCTCAGCGTATCTGACAATTCCCAACTTCTCACTAATTTTAGTTAAGTTACCAGCAGTATAATAAAGGCCTCTATGGATGGAATGCTTGAATACTTCTAGAAGGTTACCAGGTGCCCCTCCTCTTCCCTCATCCTTGCCCGCAGACCTCAGGGGCTATAGGAGTAATGGTAGTAAGGAAACAGAATCAAGGAGTCATTTGGAGGCCAGAGGGACATTTCTTACTTTAGTGTTTGCATATTACCAGATTTTAAGTTGGTGACCCGAAGCAGAGCACAGGGTCATTCAGAAGTTCCTGGACATCCTCAGACTTCCTGGGTGTAGTAGAGTTAGGAGTCATGGATCTAGTCTTGAATTTCTACTTACTGGGCAAACTACTTGGGACACAGCTGTAAGTCTGATAGACGAGATCAAATCCTGTCTCTGTCACTACCTGTGGGAATTTGTTACCTCTTTAAACCTCAGTTTCTTTCAGATCTAGGAGGAAGACAATATTTATTTGGAATGCAATTGTGTGATGACTAAATCATGTGCGTATAGAATAACAATCTAGATCTGGCACTTTGTATGTGTTTAATAGGTGATGGTTGTTATCATTTGTCAGTATTGGAGTGGGTGGGATGATGGTCTGAGCAATGCATCACCATTGTATAAACTATTACTAGATCCAGATACATGCAGAAGAAAGTCAGAATTCAGAAGCTGCTTTATATAGCTATTTTGGTTTAATGAATGTCAAATAAATGCCTATTGACCCTTCCAATATGACTTCGTAAAGGCCTTCGAGGGGCTCCCCACTTCTCACTGTCAGCATGTTTTCTGATAATAGTCCCCTAGTTTCCAACCTTGATGTGTCCTCCTACCTCAGGAGAGCCCGAGCCCTCCCCAGAGGGGGCTCTGGACAGTGTCCCACCTGAGATGTGACAGTAAATTCTGAGCTCGCTTTCCCTTTGTCCACCCTCTTTGCCCCCCTCCCCTGACTCGCCTCTCTGGCCCAGGCCTTATCTTGTCCTCTGGGGAGGTATGTGAAGTGCTCTGCCAGGCTGCCTGTATGCCTGGCCTGTTTCTTCTCACTGCCAGTACCTCTTGGATTCCAATTCCAAACATGGTATCCGTCTGGGGTCACCCTTTCTTCCGGTGCCAAGAGAGACGCATTCCAAATGGAGCACAAATGTGCCTCCCGTGCTGGGCGCTCTTCATTCTGTTTGGGAACAACAGAGAGCAGGATGTGGCTGCTTTATTATCCCTCACTGCTGAAGCTTTCAGCCCCATAGTCCTATCTTTTTCTCAGGACGAGTTAGATTTCCTGCCAAGAGTCAAATGTGAAGACTGTTCTAAGAAACCTGGAGCTGAGCACATTCACCAGAGCTTTGCCAGGAGGGCCAGAGCCTTACTGAGGGAAAGAGAAAGAAAAGTTTTCAGTTCTCCATGAAGTATATGATGTTTTGCTATTCATTCCCAAAGCTTCTGGAAGCATTCCTCCCAAGAAAGGTGGAGTTGGCGGGGAGAAGCCAGAGGTGAGACGACAATTGGGAGGACAGGCTAACCCATTTCCTGAATTTCCCATGTGGGGACAGTCTTAGAGCCCGATAGGCTTTGAGACCTGAAGATGAGCAGCAACGGCAGCATGGAGGGTCAGCTCCTCTGGCAAGGGCCACTGTGCATTGCCTGGAGGCAGGACCTGGAAGGGGCTGTCTTCCACCTGGCCAACTGCTTCCTGCTTCTGGGCTTCATGGGTGGCAGCGGGGTGTACGGGTGCTTCTACCTGTTTGGCTTCCTGGGCACAGGCTACCTGTGCTGTGTGCTATGGGGCTGGTTCGGTGCCTGCGGCCTGGACGTTGTTCTCTGGAGCGTCCTGCTGGCAACGGCCTGCGTGCTCCAGCTGGCACACCTGGTGTACCGCCTGCGTGAGGACACCCTCCCCGAGGAGCTGGAGCTGCTCTACAAGACGCTGTGCCTGCCCCTGCAGGTGCCCCTGCCAGCGTACAAGGAGATCGTGCACTGCTGCGAGGAGCAGGTCTTGACTCTGGCCACGGAGCAGACCTATGCCGTGGAGGGCGAGACGCCCATTGACCGCCTGTCCCTGCTGCTCTCTGGCCGGTAAGCCACTCTGTCAGTACCCAGCATTTCTTCCCCACGCCCACACTTCTCGTTTCCCAGTGCCTCCCTTTCCATTTCGTATCTCTTCCATTGAGGAAGGATGTGGCGAGTCAAACAAACCAAAATAGATTTTTCTAAGCATGTACTTGCTTCCCCTTTTTTAAAATATTTTTCATGAGGAAACTAGCTCATGGTTGGCAGGAAAAATTGTGAATATACTTGCTGCTGGGAGGTGTGGGGTGAATGTTTCTTGACCCTGGCTCTAAAATGGCTACACCATGCCAGCATGTCATGCCTAAACTGCAGCAATATCTCTGTAAGCTTTGGAAAACTGAACATTTCAATAAGATTAATTAGTTTCTTCCATATGCATTCAACCTTTGCTAAGTGCCAACTATGTGTAAGGAACGGTGCCAAAATAGGAGATTTTTAGTAACCCCTGCTCCCTCCAGGACGTCAGAGATATCGGGGGATATCTATACAGATTCTGTGGTAAAGCATTCTGCATATACCCAGGTATGGAGCAGGAATGGGCTTCCCTGATGGCTCAGTGGTAATGAACCTGCCTGCCAGTGAAGTAGATGTAGATCTGATCCTTGGGTCGGGAAGATCCCCTGGAGAAGGAAATGGTTACCCACTCCAGTGTTATTGCCTGGGGAATTCCATGGACAGGGGAGCCTGGCAGGCTACAGTTCATGCAGTTGTAAAAGAGTCAGACACACCTTAGTGACAACAGCAACAACAATGGAGCAGGTTACCCTTGTCCACATTTCCATTCCAAATTGTTTTATTGAGATTCCTACAGACCCAGAAGTAAAGTGCTATAAATCTGAGGGCCAGACAGTGAGGGGAGAGCAGTGATGCCCATGTGTGTCTCTTTGAGGATATGGTGGAGACACCTGGCTGACACGTTGTAAGGAGGCTGACAGTCAGACCTCAGCAAAATGGGCTTTGTCAGGATTAGCCTGCATGTGAATGTTGGCCATTGACTGATCTCTTCTGAACAAATACTATGTAGCTTTGTGCTGTACATTTGGTAGGAAATTGTGAATTCTTTGAAATATTGCCCTAGTGGGACTTGTATGTGCAGCTGAGCATCTGACAGTAAGCATTTTAACCTGGTATATACTTGGACTGGCTCTGTGGAAAACGAGTATTTAAAAACTTTGTCCTTAATTTCCTCTTTTTTGAGACCAGAAGAATGCGGTGATTCAAAGGAAAGAAAAGGAAAGAAAGAAAAGGGGGAAAGAAAAAAAGAAAGAAAGAAACTAGATAAGATTGCCAGTGGGGAAAAAGACTTTGACTTTGATGATGATGGTACTACCACAACTACTACTACTAGTAATGTTGATACCATGCATTTATGTATTAATGTATAGAATCAAAGTATAATGTATACATGTTTTAATTTTGTTTGGACACTGAGGTCCTGGGTTGAATGAGCTATGAGGTTTTGTGATGTTTCATTTCATTTATGGTTGAAGTATAAATAAATGAAATTATTTGTAAACAACTACACATGTAGATACAAATATATTATGACTATTGCCAAAATGTTTGCCACCTACAATTCCATGCTTAAAATAAGGACAGTTTAGGACACATGCTCTTTCATGAGACCCATGATATTGTTTGCATCTCCTAGCGTCTCCGTTCAAAGGAGCGGATTAAGCCAGGTAGGAGAAACACCCACTGCACTGTATGGTGCTCATTTATGGAAGGGCATAATAATTATTATATGGTTCAGGTATCTTTTATATGATAGATTTATCATGACCTTGTAGAAGACCGGGTTCCTGTGAAGAGGAGAGAGGGGCCTGGCCCCTCAGTGTGCTTTTTCTTAGTATGCGCTGTGCTAGTCACTCAGTTGTGTCCAACTCTTTGTGACCCCCTGGACTGTAGCTTGCCAGGCTCCTCTATCCATGGGGATTCTCCAGGCAAGAATATTGGAGTGGGTTGCATGCCCTCCTTCAGGGAATATTCCCAACCAGGGATCAGACCTAGGTCTCCTACATTGCAAGCGAATTCTTTACCAGCTGAGCAACCCGTGAAGCCCTTTTCCGTGTGTGTGTGTGTGTGTGTGTTAGTTGCTTAGTTGTGTTCGACTCTTTGCAACCCCATAGACTGTAGCCCACCAGGCCCCTCTATCCATGGGATTCTCCAGGCAAGAACACTGGAGTGGGTTGCCATCTCCTTCTCCAAAAGGAACTATAGAAGGGAAGAAAGTGAAGTTGCTCAATCGTGTCCAACTCTTTGCTACCCCATGGACATAGCCTACCAGGCTCCTCCATCCATGGAATTTTCCAGGCAAGAGTACTGGAGTGGGTTGCCATTTCCTTCTCCATTTCCTAGTATACTTAACATCAAAAACTCAAATTAAAAGTTAGAAATTTCAATATTTTTCTTGCTTTTCAAGATTTGAAGTAAGAATTTTGTTTTGATATCTTTCAACATCATCCTGTCTCAACTTTGCTAAGTTGGAGCTGAGGAAAGGACTTCTAGTCTATAACCAGCCACTGACTTTAAAGGAGAATCATCATTATCTTTGGCTGGTGAGGTACCAAACACCTTGAAGCAGCAGAATAGAACTCCATGCTGAGAAGTGGGGGCTTCTGATGGAGACCTCCCCAGCTCACCTGCATACCTCATCTGGAGCCCTTTGCTAAAACCTCAGACATCCTTTTTGTTTTATTTTCATAATGCAATCAGTCCCTTTCAAGACTCAGAAAGGCAAAGTGACTTCTTCAAAGTCCATCACCCTATTAAGCTGTGCTTACTGTTGGAAAGTTTCTCTCATATACAACCCCAAGTATGAACTCCCATGTGCACAGCCTCCTGAAGAGGCAGCCAGGTCTCCAAGCTGTTCACAGAGGAGGAAATAACCTGTTGTCAGGAGATCAAAGAGGAAGAAGAGACTCAAATGATAAAGGATATAGTATACAATGTGAATGGCTTCAGGGAGCCATGCAGGCTCATTGGATGTTGTCGTTTTAGCCACTAAGTCATGTCCAACTCCTTTGCAACACCATGGATTGTAGCCTGCTCTGGAGCCTCCATGGATTGTAGGTTCCTCTGTCCATGGGATTTCCCAGGCAAGAATACTGGAGTGGGTTGCCATTTTCTTCTCCAGGAGATCTTCCTAAACCAGGGATTGAAACTGCAAAATCAAAGGAAAACAAAACAAAATACCCAGGGACTGAACCCACATCTCCTGCATTGGCAGGTGGATTCTTTACCACTGAGCCACCTGGAAAGCCCCTCATTAGATGTTACTCACACTGCAAAGTCTTGTCCCTCCTCAGTGGCTTGCTTGGGTGGCCAGATTCCTTGCATGGGAAGAGGATGAAGGATGGGAGGATCTGATGTGTATCGCAGCAACTTCATTCTCTCCTGTTGTCTTTCTTCCTTTGTTCGAGAAGCTTTTCCTTGAGGTTTTGGCCCCCTTTATGGTGACACAGTGAGTTCATTTGTTTGATCTTTCCATCCCTCTTCCTTTCCTTTCTCCCTTCCTCCCTCCCTCCCCATTTCCAAAAATATTTATTGAGTGAGCTAGAGACTAGGGATCTCTTGTTAAAAAATGAAAAATATTTTCCTTGTACTCATGGAATTTACAGTCTATCAAGAGAGTCACTAATTCATGGCTCTAGCCACTAATTCCAAGGAGCAAGGCAAAGTGCAATGAGAGCATATAAGCAGTGGACCTAAGTTTTCTGGGGGGCCAGATGAGACTTCCTAGAGGAAGGAATGTGTAAACTGAGGCCTGAGGAGAAGGTGCAGATTGGGAAGTGAGGCAGCTGGAGGGAACAGAATATGTGAAGACCATGAGGTAGGAGCACACGGCACTTCATTTTCTCTTGCATCCTTTCATTACCCAGGTAAGTTCTGATGGCTATCTACACATATTGATAGGTCTTGTAGAAGCAAGTATGTTTCTGCCATCAGAGAGTGTAGGCTGACACCACATTCTTGGCTTGGTTTAAGACCTACATCCCTTTCTGTTTTCCATCTTTAAGTTCTCAGGTAATACATAAAGTTTTTTAATTGATAGTGGTCTTTGGTAATTTGTACATATTCATATATATCTAGGCATTCACTGGGAGCAAGATATGGAGTGCTAATATCCCCTTGGCTGGAACCCAATCACATGGCTCTACTCAGCTGCAAGGGAAGTAGAGAAACATACTCTGGCTGGGCAGTCATGAGCCCTGCTAAAAAAGTTCCTGTACTATAGAGGAAGGGGAAAAGCTGATATTGGAAAACGGAATTCCACCCTGGATTTCTCAGATCCTCATCTGTATTCCGATCTGCTTCTCAATATCATATACATCCTTCAGAAATCAGCTCAAATGTTATCTTTGAGAAGTCTGCCACTTGGAGAGAACTAAGGTCTCTCCCTCCTCTAATCTCCTGTCTCACAATAGCACATGTTGACTTACAGCTAGTTATTTATGTGCCTGTGACTTCCACTAAATCGTGAAATCCTGAAAGGTAAGAATCAGATTATTGGGTCTTCCCTGGTGGTCCAGCAGTTGCCACGCAGTGCAGCTGAAGAGTGAAAAAGGAAAAAAAAAAGGACCAGATCATCTCCAGATTCCCAGACTTCCAGGAACACAGAAGGTTCTCCATACATATTTTTTTTTAACAATTAAGCTCCAGAAAAAGTGGAACAATAGCTCCTCCCAGTTGGACAGGATGTACCTTAGAGAGCTTTTTGATCTGCCCCCTTTGTTCAATAAACACTTTCTTTCCCAGTACAACTGATTTTAGAAGAGAGGTTGAAACTGAGACTCTGAGTTTTCTAGGTAAAAGAGGAAAAAGCCCATTCAGGATCCTAGTCATTTTCCATTCTTTTAACATGTAATTTAAACTCTGGAGAAGCTTTGGGTAACCACTTCTCTTTTCCCACACAGTCTCTTCTCTCCCTTTGCCAGGGTTCGTGTGAGCCAGGACGGGCAGTTTCTGCACTACATCTTTCCTTACCAGTTCATGGACTCTCCCGAGTGGGAATCGCTGCGTCCCTCTGAGGAGGGGGTGTTCCAGGTAATAGGGAGCCCCACGGCAGCACTGCCGCAGCCCATCCCACTGCAGCCCAGTAATATCCGTGCTTCCATCTTTCCTCTCTTTGGTCAGACCTTTGAACTACTGCCAATATGACGCTTGAGGTGGGAGCACTCTCCTCCAGTCGAAAAAGTGCCTGGCAGAGGAGGGGTAGGGTAGGGAGGTGCTGATCCCTGGAAGGGGGGCCATGTCACTCCTACGCCTAAAACTCTTCCAGAAGACCCCAGTGACCACCGGATAAAAGCCCTCACTCCTTAGAGAGTAACTTAAGACCTTTAGTGACATCCTGGAGCCACATCTCCAGCCCTTTCCTACACTTCCTGCTCACACCAGCCATGCTGAATTACTAGTACTTCCCTAAACATACCACATTGTTTTACACGGCCGTGCCTTGGCCCCTAATGTCGCCTCTATCCAAAAGGCACTTCCCTCATCAAGAGGAGGCTATGGCATCTCACTTCCTCTGAAGCCTGCCCAGACTGACCTCACCAGCTTCCACCCCCACACATTGCCTGCATGCCTCTTCTATTGCTTTTACTATGCTGACTGCACACATGTACAATTTGGTTTTCTGTCTTTTGCATAATAAATTCCTTGACGTAGAAATCTGGACTTTTCCTCTCCATCTCCAGGCTCCAAAGGGCAATACTTTGTACACAGTAGTAGGTGTTCAGTAAAGTTTCACTGAGCTGCCTTGGCAGTAGGCTATTGGTGTCTCAGAATGCTCCAGAGGGTATCACATACACAGTCTAAGGTCAGGGCCTGTCTGCTCGGGCCCTCCTTTCTGTTCTGTGAATCCTTCAGATTTCAGTTACCTTCTTTGTAGTTCTCACTTACTATATGGCTAGCATGTGACAGGCACTACCTATTTTATTGCCTTATTGACTCTCACCACAGTCCTCTGGATTGTTATTAACCTGTTTATAATAAAAATAATTATTATAAACAATTATTATATTATATTGTTATTAACCTGTTTAACAGATGAGGAAACTAAGGCTCAGAAACCTCAAGTAATTTGCCCAAGCTCTTCATCTAGAAAGTGGCAAAACCAAGTTGCCTGACACCACTCTTCTATTCTTTTTTAAAATGGGGGGTTACCAGGAGAGTGGAGTTTACACACATACACCATTTTAGGGACTCCCCTGTCCAGACAGTTCGCCAGTACTGGGTTCCCTCTGTCTCCTGTCAGTTCTGTCAGGAAGTTCTTCAGGCGAGCGTTTATGCCAGCCCCGAAATAGACACATGCCAGGCGGGGCCACCCGGCTGGGCCTGCTTCCGCCCCACCCTGACTCTTGGCTCTGTGAGGACAAAGCCTGAGGGGCAGTCCTAATCCCACTGCCTGGACCATCAGTCACAGACCCCACTCTGAACATGTGCCTCCCCCACCACACACTCACATCCTCTCCAAGCGGCTCAGCAGTCACCTTTGAGAACTCCCTCAGAGCCACAAGAACCTTCAGGAGGGCTGAGTCAGGTCCTGAGCCAGCCAGACCAGGCTCTGTTTCTGACACTGAAACTGAGAAACAGGTGGTGGATAAGCCGGGTGTCCTCCCCTTAGTTATGCTTGAAAGGAAGGGCTATGACCCCGGATGGCCTCTCAGCATCTGAGAGGGATGTAGGGACCGTCACATTTCTTCCATTTGTATTTTTAGTATGCACCTCCACTGGGAGCCTTGAAATCCACACACTTGCTCTTGGCTCTGTGAAGTCCCATTTCCTCTTTGCAAATGTCAAGTGTTGTCTCGGGTTGTAGTTCATCTTGTCCTTGCCTTTGCATTTGCAGTCTTTGTTGACTAATAGGGAATCCACAGTGACTGAATCATAATTCTTATTGAGTTTGCCACAAGAGAATCAACATTCCATCACACCTCTCAAGAATTCAATGAAGAATTTATTGACCGGTAAACACTGCGACCCTCTCATAAGTCACCAAGAACATAGCATGGGGGCCATCACATGGAAGTCAGCATTATTTCTCTAATTAGAATCATGTTTTACTGGACTCAAGGCCTCTTTATGTACATCATATCATTTAATCCATTCAACTAGCTTCGAAGGTGATGGTTAAAGAAAAACCTGGTCAAACCAGTCAATCCATTGGTTTCTGAAGATATTTAGGAAGGATTTTATACTGGGCATGAGAAAACAACATCAAGTTATTTTGCAACATAAAAGATTAGTAGTTTTTACCTGATTCATTCACTCATTTCAGTAACATTTATTGAGCTGTTACAGTAACCTGGGCACTCTATGGTTTGTTTTTGTTTGGTTTTATTTTTGGCCACATCACAAGGGATGTGTTCCCTGACCAGGGACTGAACCCATGATTCATGAACCCATGCCCCCTGCAGTGAAGTATGGAGTCTTAACCTCTGGATTGCTAGGGAATTCCCACCTGGGCACTATTAAAGGTGCTCAGAGTGTATCAGTCAACAGAACAGATGAAGGTCCCTGCCTTCATGCAATTCACATTCTAGTAGGTGAGACAAAAAAATTAGCCATAGAAATTATGAAAAAGTAAATTATGTAATATGTTAAAAATAATAAATTATAGTAAAAAAAATAGTATAAGGGAGAGATACAATTGACTCCTCAACAACACAGGAGGTAGGGTACCAACCTTATAGTAGAAAATCCATGTATAATTTATAGTGAAAGTCACTCAGTAGTGTCTGACTCTTTGAGACCACATGGACTATATAGTCCATGGAATTCTCCAGGCCAGAATACTGGAGTGGGTAGCCTTTCCCTTCTCCAGGAATTGAACTGGGGTCTCCTGCATTGCAGGTGGATTCTTTACCAGCTGAGCTACTAGGGAAGCCCATAATTTATAGTCCAACCTCCAAATATACAGTTCCCCCAGATCTAGGCTTCCACATCCTCAGACTTAACCAATCGGCCAGTTGTATAGTACTTCAGGTATTTACTATTGAAAAAAAAAAATCCCCATTTAAATGGATCCACACAGTTCAAACCTCTGTTGCTCAAGGGTCAACTGTAGTTGCAATTGTAATTGAGGATTTCATGGAAGTCTTTGTTGAACCGGTGACATTTGAGCAAAGATCTGAGGTGATTGGCAGTGTGAGCTCTGAGAATACCTGGGGGAATAGCATATTAGACAGAGGGGAGAGCCAGTGCAAAAGCTGGGTGTGAGAGAGACTAGCATGTTTGAGGTCCAGAAAGAAGGTCAATGAGTCTGGAACAGGGAGAGGGAGGGGAATGAAGAGCAGGAGAGGAAGTCAGAGAGGTGATAAGGAAACATGTCATCTAGGGCCAGAGTGTATATTTGCTAAATACAGCCAAAAGGATTTCCTAACACATTGGATGTAGTATGTGAGAGAAAGAGGATCAAGAAAACTTCTAAGACTTCTGACCTGAGAAACTGGAAAAATGGAGTTGCTATCAGATGCGGTAAGGAAGGCTGCAGATAGTATTGGCTTTGGGAGAAGAGAGAGAAGTCCAGTTTGGGAGGTATTAGATTTACGTCATCTATGGACATTTAAATACAGACACTGCGTAGGCAGTTGCATACTTGAGTCAAGTTAAGGAACAAGGCCTGAGCTTGAGACTAAGTTAGGGAGTCATTAGCCTACAGATGATATTTAAAGCTGTTACATTGGACAAGATCACCAGTGAGTGAGCATAGACAGAAAAGGGATTCAAGAATCCATTAACCCTGGGGTACTCTAGTGTTTAGAAGTTGAAGCGGGTAAAAAGCAGCAAAAGAAGCTGAAAGGGACTAATCTGGATGTTATACCAGGAGAGTGTGGCATCCTGGGAGCAAGTAAAGAATATCAAAGAGGAGGGACTGAATGCCGTGAAAACTGATCATCAGACTCAGCAATGTAGAAGTCATAGGTGACTTTGCCAGGAACAGTCTGTAGACCACTGGGGCAAAGCCTTGCTGACTGAAGAGAGAGAATATGAGAAGAATTGGTAACAGCCAAGTATAGACAACTTTTTCATGGAGTTTTGCTGAAAAGGAGAGCAAATCAATGGAGTGATAGCTAACCAAGGAACTAAAGTGAAGAAAAAAAGATTTTGATTTTAAAATTTTGATTTAAGATGGAAGAAGTAGCAGTGTATTTGCAAGAATGCCCACAGTCTTTTGTGTTCAGCTTTGAGGACACTGCTTGCATCCTTATTAGCTCTCATGTGTACCCACTTCATGTGCAGCACCCTGATTTCTTGTTTGGGAATTGTTAGTAAGTACACTGAAAGTACAGGTTATGGTAGATGCAACAACTACTTGCTGAGTCAAATTAGTAACAGATGGATTGTGAGGACCAGTATTCTCATGAGGCAACAAGTCTGGAGAGATTAAGCAATTTATCTGACGTCACACAGCTGGTAAAGCTGGAACTTGAAACTCGTTTCTGGTCTTGATGAGGCAATTTAGGCCCTGACTTGAGTGCTGATGACTGAGGGGTGGGGGAGGGAGAGGAGGAAATGAATGAAGGGAACAAAAGAGGGGTACTGCAGATGGGAAGGGGAGGAGGGGAGCAGAGGCGGTGTTCTGGGGGCAATGAAATAAAAGGATTATATATATGATCTCTGATAAAGAATGTTTGGAAAGCCAACCCCACCTTTAATGAGACAACCCACATAAAGCACTTAACACAATGACTGGTACATGGTCACTCTCAGTAAATGTTAGCTGTTGTCCTCCTTCTCATTTCCACTGTCTCCATTCATGAATCTTCATCTTAAGCTCTGCCAACCTGTTCACTTTTAAAGTACTTAGGACAGACAGGGTATGAAGAATTGTGTGGTTCTACGCACTTTTCCTTTACTATCCTAAGAATGTTTGCATTTGAAACCTATCTTTACCACTCATTGTTTATTAACAAGATTTATCAAGCACCTGCTCTGTGCTGTGCACACATTACTGACCCTGCAAGTGTGACTTAGCTGTGCACCACGGGCACATAGCCAAGTACACAGAAATTACTAGATGTCTATATAAATGAAGAGTGAGGTATCCTTCCACTTCGTGTTCTTAAGAGTGCCTCTTGAGACTTCCCTGGTGGTCCAGGGGTTAAGACTCTGTGCTCTTGATGCAAAGGGCACGGGTTCTATGTTTGGTTAGGAAACTAAGATCCTGTAAACTGCAAGGCACCTTACCTCCCCAAAAAAGAGTTCCTTTTCCTCTGTGCCCCTTTTCTGAATTTAGTCATCAGATCCATTTGGTTACTTGTAGGGCCCAAGTCAAGAGCAGCTCATAGGCCTGAAGACCAGGCCAACATTCTGTCCACTTGATGCAGCCTGGCATGCCTGATCAGTGGCTCTCTTCTCACTGAAATTCTTCCCAATTCTTCTTCGTGCCCCAACTCCAATATATTATCTTTTATTCTTAAAAACTGTCATCAGCATCCTGACGTTTCTTCTGAGCACCAGGAGGCCCCTTTTCTCTCCTGTAATCACAACAGGCTCAGAACCTTCTGCAGCCATTAGTGGGATCAGCCATGGAACACAGTGTATGAGAGCTGAGGAGACTGGAAGTTGACAGTGAGGTTCCAGAAGGTGATCTCAGGGCTCTTCACAAGACCACCCCCCTATTCCACCCCTCCTACCATGTCAGTGCACACAATGGAAGTCATTCATTGGACCTCTGCAAGGCAAGGCCCTGGAGAGGTACTTCCACAGCTTCTTCAGGAGAAGTGCAAAGTGCAGCCGTTTGCCAAGTAAACTGTATATATCTCTGTACTAAGCTTGGACACATTTTTAAGTTTCAACCTTCACTTTTTGCCCCTGACCCCTCTCAGGTCACTCTGACAGCTGAGACTGAATGTAGCTACATTTCCTGGCCCCGGAAAAATCTCCACCTCCTTTTGACCAAAGAGCGATACATCTCTCGCCTCTTCTCGGTCCTGCTGGGCTATGACATCTCAGAGAAGCTCTACGCTCTCAATGACAAGCTCTTTGCTAAGTTCGGGCTACGCTTTGACATCCGTCTCCCCAGCCTCTACCACGTCCTGGGTCCTGCTGCCCCAGATGCAGGACCAGAGTCTGAGAAGGATGACGAGGAAGTCCGTGGGCCAGCCGCATGCCCTCCTCAGGCCCTGCACACGTCTGTCCAGCAAACACCCCCTAGCTCCCCACCTCCACTGGTCACCAACTCTCCTGCACCTCCTCCCTGGGTCAGAATGTCCAGGCCCGACAGCGGCGTCCTGGGTGAGGACTCCACCAGTCTGGTTCTGGAGGATTTTGAGGAGGTGTCAGGATCAGAATCATTCATGGATTATAAGAGTGATGGGGAGTACATGAGGTGAGGGGAGAACTAACATGGGCACAGCCACCCCGCTCAGGATCCTGTGTAAGTACTCAGAAGGCAGTTGCTGCAGTCTTGCCAATAGCTGGCCTTAACTTGGTTTATAAGGGCAAAAAATAATTTCATGGAGCCTGTCCTCTCAGAGGACTCCCAGAAAGTGGCATTAACCCAACCTTGCAGATAGCAACTCACTCCTGGTGCATGAAAGGCATGAGGGTTTTTTTTTTTAAAAACTCATCCCTTATTGTGATTGCTTTCAAAAGCGGTCTGGCTGGTTGACATTTGATCAAGCAGATAGGTTGCTAATTATTTTTTTTCAAAGTTGTGCTAATAACCAAGGTCATATTTAAGGCTAAATGGTATTTTATTATGGCGTGCATTTTGAAGAATACTTTAAAAAGCTGGCATGGCTCAAATTCCTCATGATTTTTCTTGGCACATAGTCAGCTCCAGAAAGCAGTCATTATTTAGCCTGGACTGGACAGGCATTTCTGTTAAAATCGCCCCTATTTCAAAGAGGCTTGTGATTGGAGGCTAATGACACTGGGAGGAAAATGTGTCCACCTTGCTGTCCTCTGACCCAGTGGAGAGTGTGTTGCTCAGGCACAGGACTGGACACTGCTGAGTGAATGTTACTATGATAGGATGACTTTCCTAGAAAATCATAACTGTGAGAGGTAGAGTGGGCGTGAATCTGGCGGGCCTAACACGTAGGAGAGTGTGTGTACAGTTCAGGAGAGTGTACATAAAAGGCTGTGCTGAGCAGTTCTGGGAAATGGGTTTCGTGTTCCCCCTGACTGCTCTCACAATGCTGTGACATTTTCCTCTAGGACTCCACCCAACCATGGTGCAGGCCTGGCTTTTCCTGAGGAAAATACCACTGTTCTCAATTTGGAAGACATTTCCAGGTCGGGGAGGGGTGGTTAAGAGATTAATCATTGTTTAGGAAACACTGTTTTCCCAAGAAACCATTTCAGGTAGGAAGGCATCTAGGGTACTTTGAGGTTGAGTGAGTGTATGTTTGTACAGTTTGAAAAGCAAATCATATAAATGATGAAAGAGGCAAGAGAGGTGAGTAATCAAAGATTAGCTATTTGGTTTCATGGATATGAAATTGATAGCAACTTGCAGATCCCTTTCTTGACCGCCTCCACGTGTGTTGTCCTCTCCCGCTGTCCCTCCCCCACTGTGCTGACAGTCACCTCCCTTCTGGCCTACCTCCACCAGTGTGCATGAATTCTGTCCTCTGGGCCCCTTTGTCCACATACCTGCCCTCCTGCACACACTCTGAACTCATAGAGCTCCCTGTGTTCTCTTCTGCCTGCTTCTCTTTTCCTGGCTCTATTTGTTCTCCTCTTTCTCCCCTCCTGACTTCTGCTCAGTCCTTGGTTTCCTCAGTGTGCTGCTTTTAAGAAGAAAAAGGCCCATTTCTTCTTCTTTTCCGTTAATTTCCCCTCTCTATATTTTTCCTCCACGTTGACCCCATTTGACTATTTATGTATTTACCTCTCTGTTGCCTTCTTCCTGTTTCCTCCACTTCCTGTCTTGCTCTATCTCTTCTTCCTAAACTGCCCTATATGCCCAACTTAATTTTTAATCCTGACTCTTCCAAGATCAGTACCTCTCCCTCTGCCTATAAAGAAAACCATTCAAGTGAAGATGTGAAAATTCTCTTCTTTGAGGGCTACACATTTCACGCATGAGTTTTCCCAAACGTTAACAGGCAGGCAGTGTTTTAGACAAGCGACCTGCACCAGGAGCCCAAAGTCCTGGTTGCTATGTTTGGCTCTACTACTCTTTGCAAAGCACACAATCTCACTGAACCTTACTTTCTTCACATGAATGTGTTGACCCAGCTGGCCCCTCCAAGGCCCTCCTGGGTTTATGTGAGAAGGAAAATGATGAGCTGTTCAGAGGAGGAAAAAGAAGCAGTCAGGCAACGTTATAATGGACACAAGCCCCCAAACATCAGTGTGTCTTCCAGCAAGAACTCGCTGCCATATTTCACTATGATTTCTCTTGTGACTTGGCTGTCCTCCTCTTTGCTGGGGGCAGGGTCCTGCTTGACTAGGAGTTCTCTCCACTCTGTACCTGTGAAGAACCTCACCTACCACGTGAAAGGCATGGTAGGTGAGATGTTCACATGCAAGGTGGTCCCACCTGTCTCTCAGGTCCTCTACCCTTAATACTATTGAAAAAAAAGGCTTCTTCCCAAATTCAGCCTTTTCTGAGGTTCACAATGAGAAAACTGCTAATATAACTCACTTTCTTTATACTTACTAGTATTTGCAGTATAAAGAGAGAAGGTATTAGAATCGTCTTTGGTTTAAGTAATAGAAAGGAAAAAACTCTGTGTTAACTGAATGCCAGAGAATTGATGCTTTTGAACTGTGGTGTTGGAGAAGACTCTTGAGAGTCCCTTGGACTGCAAGGAGATCCAACCAGTCCATCCTAAAGGAGATCAGTCCTGCATGTTCATTGGAAGGACTGATGCTGAAACTGAAACTCCAATACTTTGGCCACCTCATGCGAACAGTTGACTCATTGGAAAAGACCCTGATGCTAGGAGGGATTGGGGCAAGAGGAGAAGGGGATGACTAAGAAGATGAGATGGCTGGATGGCATCACCAACTCTATGGACATGAGTTTGGGTAGACTCCAGGAGTTGGTGATGGACAGGGAGGCCTGGCATGCTGCGGTTCATGGGGTTACAAAGAGTCAGACATGACTGAGCAACTGAACTGAACTGAACTTCCACAGAGTTTTCAGAACAACTTGAAAATGTGATCAAATTAACCAAATTTCAGACAGCTTTAGTCTGTGATAATGGGATAATTTAGCCCAGAGACATTTTTCCAAAATTGTATTTTGGGACATTTGGTTTGACTTATTTGTCATCAAACTCTTTTTATGGTTATTACTGTAATGAATAAGCATAGTGCCTCGAGACTGGGAGCAATTTAACTTGTTTCCTTTCCAAAGCAGGGCACAGTTCACCATCCAGTCCCTGGCTCTTCAGCGACCAAACCTGTAAGCTCATTGCTATTCATCCTGGTCCAGAACTTAAAAGAGTTATGAAGCTGCCTGGATTCTGCATTGTTGGGAATGACATAGCTTCATCACACTGGCACCAGTGCTTGTGCCTCACACCAAGACAGTTTAAAACCAACTAAAAATGGTGTTTCTACTGGAGCATTGTTTTGTGTTTTTTTTTTGAAGTGCACAGTTTTCAGCCTGGTAGTACCCAGAACTGAGCCAAAACTGGTTGTTACTTTATTAAAATGCAAAGCAGTACTGTATGATAATGTATTCATGCAGGGTCTCACAGTTAGACCTCACATTAACCCTGCCTTCACTAGAATCTTTCCAGTTAATTCTATGAACACATTCCACAATGTTTCATTTGATGTCTTACAGGAGATGCTAAATCACATCTCTGAAGTGGTCAGTTAAGTCAAGCTACTGAGTCTATTATCACAAGTTAACTGAAAGCTGTTTAAAATTTGGCCAGGTTAGCTTATGTTTTCAAATTGTTCTGAAGACTATAGCTTGAAAGTAGAGACTATATATTGCTTCCTTTTTATTATTTAAATAAACAAAGAAATGAGAAACACATTACAGCATGGAGGCTAATTGTGGTCAAGGAAAGAGGCCAGGACCAGAACATATTACCAAAGGCCAGAGAACCAATTCGACAAACATTCACTGTGTATCCACTATGTATTTCAGGCACTGTGCCAGGTAATCATATTATAAGTAATCATGAGTAACAACTGAAAGACTGGAAGATGCTTAATCTGCAAGAGAGTGACAAGAGTAATATCTTCAAATTTTTAAAAGATATATTCACCTTACTTTGGTGAAGTTCTTGAGGTCAAAGATGAATTAAGGGCTGAAAGCTATAAGGGGAATGGACTGCCTCAAGGAGTAGTAAGTTACTTGTCACTGGAAGAATTCAAATAATGATTAGAAGAAATCTTCTTAGAGATTTTTTTAAGGTGATTCATGCTCCAAGAGAAGGATGCCTTATGTTATTGCTATTAAGGTGCCTTCTAACTCTGTGATGCTATGATTCAATGATTCTAAGATGTGAATCTTGTCCTGCCACATAATTATCTTTAAGAGCAGTTCCCTAACTGCAGAACAGGGCTAATAGCCTCATAGATAATTAATACCTACAAGTAAATGGGATTCCCTGATAGCTCAGCTGGTAAAGAATCTGACTGCAATTCAGGAGACCCCAGTTCGATTCCTGGGTCAGGAAGATCCTCTGGAGAAGGTGGCTCAGCTGGTAAAGAATCTGCCTGCAATGCGAGAGACCTGGGTTCAATCCCTGAGTTGGGAAGATCTCCCGGAGAAGGGAAAGGCTACCCACTCCAGTATTCTGGCCTGGAGAATTCCATGGACTATATAGTCTGTGAGTTGCAAAGAGTCAGACACGAATGAGCGACTTTCACTATCCAGCACTATTCAGAAGTAAGTAAATAGGTAGCCTCAGTCGATGTTATCAGGTTGCTTGAAGAGTAATTGAGATAAAGTACACAAAGGCAATTTGTTAAGCTGTAAAGCCCTAGTTTAATGTATAACGTATTTTAAAATTCTGTTCTGTGTATGCTGCTGCTGCTGCTAAGTCGCTTCAGTCGTGTTCGACTCTGTGTGACCCCATAGACGGCAGCCTACCAGGCTCCCCCGTCCCTGAGATTCTCCAGGCAAGAACACTGGAGTGGGCTGCCATTTCCTTCTCCAATGCATGAAAGTGAAAGTGAAAGTGAAGTTGCTCAGTCGTGTCCGACTCCCAGTCACCCCATGGACTGCAGCCCTTCAGGCTCCTCCGTCCATGGGATCCTCCAGGCAAGAGTACTGGAGTGGGGTGGTTCTATGTATAGTTATTTGCAAATTCCTCCCCTTCTCTCTCACTCTCACTTCCCTCCCCAGTCCCTCCCCCTACTCCTTCTGAGACACATGATTTCCCCTTATTTCCTCTAGTCTGGTTTCCCAAGGGAGGTAATAACCGACAGGATCCCCTGACAACAAAAGGAACAGCAAAAAGTTGGAGGTCCAGAGAAAATACACACTATCTCCTTGGCCCGTGAATAACTAAGGGATGGTCAGAACTTCACCTGCTTTATTTGCCCAGGGGAGACAGATCACCATCACACTATATTCAGGTTCCTTCCCTCAGAAGTCCCTCTGATGCTTTGTTAGCTGTCAGTGTTGTTAAATAGCACATTTTCCCCAGAACCACTGGAAAGCCTCCTGGGGCAGAAGACTTGCCCTTGAAGGTGGCCTGGCAGGAGCTGCCTGGGGTCTTCAGGTCTGGGTCTCTGGATGGTAGTTCTGCTTAACCTGCCAAGGTTCCATGTTCAAGTAGTTAAGTTAGAGGCAGCAGTTCCTTCCCGCCTCAGGACCACAACAGCCTGTATTTGGGGCTCAGCCCCAGGTTTTTCTTCTATTTCTGTTTTACAGGTCTCATTTACCTACTCCTTGCTTTGTAAAAATAAAACACAAGGGTTTTATAAAACTCACTGGTTTTCTATGCAGATTTTTAAAAACTTATTCCATAGTGTTAGGAAGTGTGGTTCTATAGATTCTTCATAGGAAGCAACTAAAGTTGACCTATTGGTCTCTTCTCCTATAAAATGAGAGAATTGAACTATATAACTTCAAAACTGACTCACCCTAATATTATAGAAGAAAATGATTCAACAATTCAACTGCTCCTATTGTGTTAGACATTGCATACAGTTAAAATATTGGGAAATTGTAGAGGAAAAAAAGACCTGAACAGAACCCTCTGAAGTTATGTGAGCTATCCCAAGCCACAGTGCTGAAATCCTTCCTCTGTTTTTCCACAGCTTCCAGAACTCCTCTCCGGAGCTACTCTGAAGTTATGTCCAGGGGACAGGCCCCCTTGGCTCCAACCCAGACTCCTGAACTGTAAGGGTCAATGGATCGTCCTTTAATCTGGCCACGTTAATCCTCACAGGATAGTCACTTGTGTGCACACCCCTCTTCTCACCCACTGGAAGGCTCACAGGCAAGGTTGGAGCAGACACAGAGGATGCCAGCACTGCAACCACACCAAGGCCCCCAAGTGACTTTTAGAAATTTGCCTTCATCAGCCTTCCTTCCAAGAGAAGGCATCCCAAAGTGCCAAAGCACAGATTCTATCCTTTACTAACTGTAGAATTTCAGGCAAGTCACATAGCCTCTCTGAGCATCATCTGTAAAGGGGTGATTATAAAACCCACTTCACAGGGTTGTAAGGATTCCATGAGTTGATTTCAATAAATCACCTAGGACATGCTGTAGCATCTAGTAAGCACTCAATAAATCACTCATTTCGTTTCCTTATGTTGTTTCCTTCAACTTTCTGAAAGCATCAATGAAGTTAGCTATACAAGAAGTTTTCACTGTTTTTATCTTGTTTTACTTAAAATATTTTTCTCAATTAAGGTTCAACTTAGGTAGGTAGAAATTTTAGAATCTATTTGCCCTTAATCTTTTACATTCAACTTACAAGTCTTTCCCTTTATTTATGACCCTAATATTAAACAGTAGTTTTTAGAAGGAGTTTTACAAATCTATTTAAATAAATGTCCTTAAACATTTTAAAGTAGACTTACAAATTTAACACATTCTGTTTTATTTTTTCTTCTAAATACTTCCATGTCTATTCTGGTTACCTATTGCTGTGCAACATCCATCCCTAAAGCAGTGAATTAAAATCATCATAATTATTTGTTTTGCTCACAAAAGTGGGGCTTGACTGTGCTCAACTGGGCTGTCCTCACTCAGAGTTTCTTGTGCTGTTACACTGAGACAGTGGCTACAGCCAGGATCAGCTCAAAGGCTTCTTGACCCATGTGTCTGGGGCCCAGGCTGGGAAGACTCAAACAGTTGAGGTCTGGGACAGCTGGGGATCCTCGGGCAATCCTTGCTCTTTCAAAAGTTTATTTTGTTGCTATATAATACTCTGTTGTAGGGCTTTCCTGATAGCTCAGTTGGTAAAGAATCTGCCTACAATGCAGGAGACCCTGGTTCCATTCCTGGGTCGCAAAGATCTGCTGGAGAAGGGATAGGCTACCCACTCCAGTGTTCTTGGGCTTCTCTTGTGGTTCAGTTGGTAAAGAATCCGTCTGCTATGCGGGAGACCTGGGTTGATCCCTGGGTTGGGAAGACCCCCTGGAGAAGAGAGAGGCTACCCACTCCAGTATTCAGGCCTGGAGAAATCCATGGACTGTATAGTCCATGGGGTCACAAAGAGTTGGACACGACTGAGCTACTTTCACTTCACTTCAGTCTGTTATGTGAATATACCACAATCTATTTATCCATTCCACTATTGATGGGTGTTTGGGTAGTTTCTAGCTTGGGGCAATTATGAATAGTACTACTATGAACATTCTTGGCCTTATCTTCTGGTGTACATACATACACATTTGGGGGGTATATGCTGGAATTACTGAGGCTTTTTTTTTTTCCCCACTGAGGCATATTTTCAACTATAGTAGATACTGCCAAACACTTCCTAGGTGATTGTACTGATTAATATTCCCACTAACAACAGTGTATGAGTGTTCTGGTTGTTTCACATCGTCCCCAATAGTTGGCATCATCTTTTTTTTTTTTTTTTTTTCATTTTGGCCACTTGGGTGTTTGTAGCAGCATATCATTTTGGTTTTAATTTTTATATTCCTGGTGAATGATAAGGGTATCTTTTTATGTTTTTCTTAGCCATGCAGATATCCTCTCTTGTGAAGTGTCTACTCCAGTTCTTGTTCATTTCTCTGTATGCTTTTCTCGACTGTAAGAAATTCTTTAAATATTCAAGTTGAAAGCCCTTTGTTGCTTAGATATTCAAATGCATTATCCCAATTTTTTTCTCTAAATATCTTTTGATGAAAATAAGTTCTTAATTTCAATGTAGTAATTTATCAATATTTTCCTCCATCATTAATGCTTTCTGTGTCATGTTTAAGAAAATTTTTCCTGCCTTGGATTTATTCTTCTTTGTTACCTTCTAAATGTTTTATTGTTTTACATTTCACAGTTAGGTCTACAAGCAACCTGGATTTGATTTTTGTGTATGGTATAAAATAAGGATCAAATTTGTTATTGCCTTATGGATATCCAATAGACAGCAGTACTTACTGAATGGATTATCCTATCTGTACTAGTGTTCAGTGTCCTCTTTGTCATAAATCAAGTATCCATGTATTTGTAGGTCTCTATCTGGATCTTCTATTCTGTTCCATTAGTCTATTTTTATACCTGTTGACAATGCCATCTGGTTAATTATTGCAACTTTATGTTTTGATATCTGGTGGTCTTCATTTTTATTCAAGTCTTGCTTATTCCCTTTGCATTTCCATATAAAATTTAGAACCAGCTAGCTATTAATAATTTCCACAAAAATATAGCTCTGCTGGAATTTTATTAGAATTACATTCACACTGTGGCTTAAGTTGGTAAGAGTTAATATCTTTATAATATTAAGTTTTTAATCTATGAGCATAGTATGTTTCATTTAAAAACTTTTTTCTTAATAGTATTCTGTAGTTTTCCATACAAATATTCTTGCACAAATTTTGTTAGATTTATTTCTAGGTAATTGTTGAATTTGGTGCTATTGTAAATATTATTTAATATTTTTACTTTCTTTTATCACTGGTATACAGAAAAATAATGGATTTTTGTATCTTCAACCTCCATCCAGAGATCCTGATGAATCCACTTATCAATTCTAGTTACTAATCCATGGAGTCTTCCAGATTTTCCAAGATACAGTTGTGTCACTTGCAAATAATGATAGTTTTATTTCTTCCTTCCCGGCCTGTACTTTCCTCCTCCACCCTCTTCCTGCTCTTCTTCGTCCTCTTTCTTTTGGTGCCTTGCTGCACTGGGTAGGACCTCAAGTGCAGGGATGAACAGCAAGGATGATGAGGACATTCTTCTCTCATACCTGACTGTAAGGAAAATACTTTCAGTATTGCACCATTAAGTATGACATATGCTATTAGGTTTTTATAGTATCCTGTAAGATTAAAGAAGTTCTAGTCCTAATTTTTAAAATCGTGAATGAGTATGGAATTTTGTCAAATGATTTTTCTGCATTAGTCAAGTTTATTTTTCTCTACTCTGTTAACAAACTCCAGATAAATGACTGTTAAAACAAACTTGCATCCCTGGAACAAATCCAGTTTTATTATGATATATTTTCCTCCTATGTATATAGAACTTGGTTTATAAATACTTTGTTTAGGAGTTTTGCATCTATGTTCCTTGTCAGGTTTTAATATCAAGGTTATGCTGACTCTGTGAAAGGAGTTGGGAAACATTTTCTCTCTTTTTCCTTGTCCTTTTGAAAGATATCTTTAAACCAAAACAAGTTTTATAACTCTTTGTTCTCTCCCTATTCAGTTTCCCAGGCCCCAAACCTTGGAGTCTTTCCATCAGTTTTGTTAGGTTGTTTTGACTGCACCGCACAGCTTGCAGGATCTTAGTTCCCCAACCAGAGATGGAATCCTGGCCCCTGGCAGTGAATGCACTGAGTCTAACTACTCAGGAAATTCTCCTGTCTTGTTAGTTCTTTCTTCAAAATATATCCCCAATTCAACTCACCATGTCCACTGCTACCACGAAATTCAAGCTACCATTATTTCATGGCTAGACAAACTTTAATAGTTTTATAACTGGCTCCTGATTTCTGTCTGTCCTCCCCATAATCAATTCTACAAAAAGTGATCATTTTAACGTATGTATGATGTATTCACTGTCTTGCTAAAAATTTCAAATGACTTCCTATTACATTTAGAATAAAATCTAAACTTCTTACCATGTGTTATCAGTCAGAATCAGCCTAATATGACTTAATATCATACAGATTTATTGCTCTTAAAATCTACTGAGAATCCGTATGAATCATCAGGGCAACTGTCTTCGTATTGCAACTCAGTGATTCAACCTACTTAGAACTTCTGGCTCTGTCCACTGAAGAAAGAAATGGCTTGATGTTTCTGTACTGGCTCTTTGATGCTTTGGCCCCAAAATGACACAAGTCCCTCTGCCCTCAGTCCATTGACTAGAGCTAGTCACATGGACCTACTTAATAATCAACTCTGTGCTTTGCTGATTAAAGTAACTGTGAAACATGGGAAAGTAAAAGAAATACCTTATGAATGCTACTCTTTTAGCCACTTATGACCCATAAGGCCCCACCTGCCTGCCTGTCTCTCCAGCCATGTTTCATTCTGCTCTCTTTCTCATTCATGTTTCAGCCACAGTAGACTTTTGGGTGCTCCTCACTCACACCCAGCTCCTTTCTACATGAGGATCTTTGCTGTTTTTCTTTCTCTCTGCAATGCTTTCAATCATAGTTTCTCCTGGCTACTACTTCTGGTCATCCAGTTCTCAGCTCAATGTCACCATCCCAGCTAAGACACCTGCCTCACCTCACCATAACCTTCTGTCCTCTTGCCTTCTTGTCATCTTCAGAGCCCCATTTCCTCTTTCCTCACCTTTTAGGATTCCAATTATGTGCTTTGTAGAACATTTCAGTGTGTTCTATAGAGCCCTTCTGTTCTTTCCTCATTTTTTTCCTAAAATTATACTGTGCATTTATTTTCTTTCTTGTGGATTTCTGTCTCTTCCATATACATTTCACAATAGAAGCTTCTTGTCAGTCTTAGAAATCCAACCGCTCTCTTGCCAGTCCTTGAGGGTTGTTGTAGGGAGTGGATGAAGCAATAAACAAACAACAGAAAAGCTCATTGTACATTGTAAATTGAGACTAAAAAACATTACCTGGAGGGTAGCCCCACGCACCCCTCCACCCCCCGCAAACTGGTGGCCCGCCCAGGCAGGGATGTTGTTACACGTTGTACATAACAGAGGTTCCTTGGGATGGAGACCTCTTTAAAAAAAATTTGTGACTGTGCT